ATTGTCTCTAGAGTCAGATAATTTTTTGAAGTATATTTTTTTATGACTGGAAAAAGCAAATAAATACATAGGTATGTGCATGACTGTGTGTGTATCTCTGACAATGAGACAGAGGCTATTAAATTTATAGTCTGTAGTTTGAGCTGTGTTCATTTCCACAAAAATATCCAGCAGTACACTGCTGTAAAAAAAAAAAACCCAACATTTTATTGTTTGAGTTCTGTTTAAACAATCTTAGCACATGGGTATCTTTTAAAGGGAAAAAGTGATTGTTTTTTCTAACATCTGCTTTTTAAATCTACTTATTATTCAGTTACCTAGTCTTTTTTATTATCTTTCTTTAACAACAGCAGAGCTTAACTGAAGAAGGGAGATTTAAACAGTGGTTGAAACACTGAACTTGGAAGTGAGAGGAAAACAAAGCTTATTGCTACTATTGTTATTATAAGAAATAATGTATTTCATTTCTAAACAATGTATTTCTACTAAGAGCTCTGTAAGAGGACTGAAGGCCAATCAAAGCAGTCTTGTCCTCACATTTTTTGCATACAACTGGTCAAGTGAATGTTCTGCTTAGCTGTCAAAATAAGTGCTTATAAGTGATTATAGGCTTTGTATAAAACATCATTAACAGCTCCCAAACATATAGCTGAAAGAGTTATTGCAATCTTTTCCTCAATGTATGATGAACATGAAAAGCTTCTTTCTTTCCCTTGTCTTCCTTTAAAACATTTGTGCCCTGCTGTGTAACCCTTCCTGAGTCTGTTCTTCAGTGACACAGTTACTGTCGCTATCTTACTCCTCGATGTCTGGACATTACCTTAGACAGATATAAAACAAAAATACAGCCAGGAGACTATTAGTATATTATGGTCATGGCCTTAAATTTATCTCAGGGAGTGTATAGTCTTTTGTGGCTGATGGTTTGTAGGTGCTAAGGGAGAGATCAGGCTAAATATTCTTGTGGGCTTCCTGAGTTAACATCTGCTAGGTAGTTATTTCAGGCTTCAGGAAAATAGACTCACAGATCTAGCAGTCCTTTGGTGCATTAATATGCATGATTTTGGCAGTGATACGTGACTTAAACAGCTTAATATTGCTTCTCAAAAAAAACCCAAAAACAAAAACAACAACCTCCCCACAAAAAAAAACAAAATAGAAAAGCATGGAATTTAGGTCCCTTCTGCTGGCATGGGAGCATTGCTTATTTGCAGAAACTGTTAAATGTAAAATTAGATTGATGCAGGGCTATAAAAAGTATGGTTTCAGGCAAACAAACAGCTGGAATTTATGTGGACTCAGAAACCAAGTATATACACAGATGTCACAAGAGCATATTTAACCTACTCAACAGATTGGGAGGGTTTCTGGATGCTAATGGAGGTGTCTTGAACTAACTTAGTCTGTGATAGAAAGTTTTGTATTTCTCAAATGCACAAATACTAAATTAAAATGCTAGAATACAAAAAAAAAAAAAAAAAAAGTGATATCAAGTTTTGTCAGTAAATCAGTAAATGCACTTCATTACTTGAGTAAAACACCTCAAAGATAATATAAATTTTAGAAGAATTTTTAATTTATGCAGTCCAAATTTAGGTCCAAATTTAGTCCAAATTTGAAAGTTCAGAGCTCTGATATACCAGGTATCTTTGTCTTTTCTCTGGTGTCTTTGCCCACTACCTGCCTAAACTGATACATGCATACTTGACTTTGAGCTAACGCGCATTGTAGGTGAGGATGACATTGCATTCTTTGATCACAAAAGCTGTAAGTCCTTAAGTCCTGGCCCAGCTGCCATAGTTAACATCCACAGAGATGCAGTTTTCTTTTTTCTGAACTGTTTGCAAAGCTACGTCCCTGAAAGTATTGTGCTGTGAAAATGAGTTATTTCCCATTCCCTAAAAGAAAACTTCCAAAAGCAAATATCTTCCCCAGACAACTAAACAAATAAGAATCTGACGTATTATCCTGTCTTGTAGAAGGAAGGAAGGTTTGATGGTACAATATCAAAGAACATGGATACTATAGTTCAGATTTTTTTACAGTAAATGCTAATGTAGAGCATGACTTTTCCCATGGTTATAGTTGGAAAATGTCAACACTGTGCAATGTTGATTCATAGTTTTATTTAAATTAAGTTAGCAATGCAGCAATACTGCACAATATTTTTCAATCTATTTTTCTCCAACATTTGATAGTCTGCTATGTGTGCATTTAATTCATCATCTTCACACTGTCTCACACGTATCTTGGCTTTTCACAGTCTTTGTTTAATGAAAAAGACTGTGAAAAGAAACAGATTGCTATCAGGTCTTTTGCTATCTAGATAATTTCTTAAGTTCTTACATAAGGGTAAAACTCAAGATGCTGCCTGTAGTTAATATGTCTGTAAATACTTTGACCAAATATTGTCCAAAATGCTTCTTTTGTAGTTCTTCCCCTTCCTCCCTCCCTCCTCCCCCAAGGATGATGAAAGGAACATTCTAATATGATTACAGCAAGTCGGCATTTATTGTTGACATAATTTTGGGGAAATTAACAAATATCACGTGATTTTTCATGTGGTCCAATTTATAGAAATACTCCTATTTCATAATAAGAAAAATAACCTGAAAATATTAAAATATCCTTGTTTTGGTGTTTGAAGCGAGATGCCATTGTTGTGTTTAGCAATGAGAACCCTTAAGTCTTTTTCTTTTAGAAAAATATCTTAATATTATTTTTTAAATAATATAAATATTACTTGATATTGGAATTAAACTTTTTACTTTGAGTTAAAGTTGTGGGTTTTTTGTTTGTCTGTTTGTTTTTACTTTAACCTAAGAAAATATATTGTTCATGTATTTTAAAAGGGCTTTCTTTCTAATCCAGACATGACCCTAACTACTGATTGTTCAGACATATCTGTATTAAAACAATTTGTGATTGAAATTACATATCACTGTAATTATGAGTGCACAAGTTTACTAAGACAAGAGAGGTACACATGATATATTTAGAAGTGGTTTGAGCATATGTTATCAATCCTTCATGTCTCATGCCTTCTGCTTATGTCCTCGAAAGGGACACCTCACCTCACCAAGGTTCTGCATGGATTCCCCTCAAGTGTAAATAAAAAAGCACTGATTATCTCACAATGTAAAATGTCTGCTAAATGGTTTAGTGTTTCATGTGTGATTTAAACTAATTAAATCTCTGGGCTGTTTTATATTTGGTGGGCCATTCTATTATTGAGTTTTTAAGCCTGGAGGTTTCAGTCCACTTTTGTGATTAATCAGTGAGCAGCAGAGCTAGCAGAGTCCTCTGTCCTGTTTTGTTCATCAGTAAGATGAGCTCTAACACCTTCACTTTGATTACCATTTACCTTACCAGTAAAATAGCAATAACGTTTCTCCTGTATTCCACCACCTATCTTCTTCCACCACTGCTCAGCTTCCTGGGAAAAAAAGTTTTTTTAGGTCCATTCCATCACTCATACAGAATTGAGCACATTTGCTAATGCCTGGGCTGCCTGGACAAGGAGCTCCTTTTATTGCCAGAAATTTCCCTGGGCTGTTTGGGCCCCAAGCTGTTTCTTAAATACAGATTGTAAGATCCAAGCATCACTGAAATCTTGTAGTAAATTAGAGCCCTAAATATTCAGTCAGTCAACTTGACATGTTTGTCATCAAATTAACTTCAAGCTGACCTTTGGATTCACAAGCTGTTAGAAAAGGTGAGCAGGCACAGAGCAATACTATGGTAAATATTTGTTTCCTTAAGGAAGTAAGCTAAAATTTGGTCATTCAGCATATGTGAAGTATTTTTGTTGTAGGTATTTACCATTTACAGTATGTTCGTAATACTCATTTAATACATTTAGAGTAATTCAAACAGTGGAGTCCAAAATAACAATATACACATGAAATATACAGTCTTAAATTTGATGGAATTTAGGGGTTTTTTTTTGCATCATGAAAATTCTGGCATTTACTCCTTCTGATATTCAGAGCAAGAGACTTAAAAGAGTTTTGCAATGAAATCAGGTGCAGTGCTTGGCATTCCACTTTATGCCAAGTGCCTGTTTTGTATTTAAAATTTATTGCTTTTTAATACTGGTGGTTGTTTTTTTTTAATTGAGTAAGTTTAGTTATTGCAAAAACAATGCGATTCATAATGGTTTGGGCCAAATATAGTGCAATCAGACGGTGTGCAGTTTTGCCTAAAGAGCTTTGACAACCTCTTAATCTTGATATGTAGCATGCCATCTATTCTAGTCATGGTCGTTTAAGAAACATATAATGCATGTCATGCTAAATTGCATACTAGCTGTTTGTTTAGTGTGGACATAATTACACCATAAACTGAACTGCAGTTGAAACTGAGAAATCAACTTGTAGTAATATTTTTAAAGTTTCAAAATCTTTATGCTAAACCACATTTTAGATTTTCCCAGACAACCTGTAATCATCCTATTGCCCATTAACTGCCTCTCTGAATCAGGTAAGGGAAAATGGTGATTGGGGGCCAGAAATGTACATTCTGATGTGACAGTGTCTATGTGTAGGCTTAAGTCAGTGTCCAAGACATACTGATGTGCTACAGTATCAACAAGATCAGTTGTTGGTTTGCTTGCCTGGATATTTTTCCTGCTCTGTTAAGCAGGGTTTTGATATCTGTCTCATACATGAAATTCTTCAGCTCTTGCACTTTCAAAACTTCCACTGTCCGATCTCAGTATTGATTACTTGTGAACTGTAACAATCCTTCTTGCTTGTCTGATGTCTTTAATCTTGTGATCCGTCTCCATGATAAATCGATATTTATATTGTCATGGACATAGTATATCCACATTCAGGCTCATGTGTCTGCAAACAGAGTGTTTGTCTGACAAATCAGTATAGAAACAGCTAAACATTCTCCTGGATGGAATGCTAAGGCATTCCAACATATCTTGAAGAAGAAGACATGTATGATAGAGTTACCTTCTATCTACTAATACTTTTTCTTTCTTCCAACAGGTCCCATAAGCAGCATTCTGGTGAATAAATATGGTAGCCGACCAGTGATGATAGCAGGGGGTATTCTGTGTTCATTTGGCATGATTGCTTCCTCTTTCTGCAATAGCGTTCTGGAGCTATATATATGTATTGGTGTTGTTGGAGGTAAGAGTGCTCTTTAAAATGTAATACTATATTATTTCTGGTACTGCTGTACCAGCAACCCGTTACTGAGGAAAAACTCAGCATGCAAGGCATTGCACATGCTAAACAAGAAGGAAACAATATCAGTTCATTTCAGCCACGTAAATGTTTTAATTCTTTAAATTAGCCACTATGATGTTAAATTATTTCATAGAATATTTAAGGAACAGTTGAGAATTTTATTCAATAAATGCTGTATGTATGTACTCTTCCATGCTGCACTGTAATTATGGTATAAAAATTGACAGCATTTATTACTGTAATTTGTGTAGCATTTCACGTTCATTGTTTTAGCTTTCAATCAGGTTACACATCAAGCAGGGTGGCAAAGAGTAACAGAATTATAGTAAAAATGCAGAACCTAATCCCAGCTTTCTGTAGGTTTTCTCCCATAGAAAATATGATAGGTTTCAATTCTAAAGCTTTCTGTGTAAAATCCAAGTCAAAATTTAAACAAAATTTTTCCTGTGTCATTAAAAGCCTGAATATTTCCTAAGACAATGAGGTAGTTGTAAAGCCAGTAAATTAGTTATTTACCAAAAGTATCTCTAATAAAATGAATGCCACCAAACAGATGAATAGCTACTTAGCCTTTATTACAGAGATGTCTTAATATGGACAGAAGGCCAAGAGGAGGAACTCATATTCTCGTGTGAATGTGTGGACTATCTCCATACTTTTCCTCCTCTTCTGCAACAAGTGGAGACTTCCATACCTGAGGTTGTAGAGCTGAATGTGCTCCAAAATAATTATACCTTTTAATTTCCACTTTTATAAACAATTTCAATCTTAAATAGGACTGGAAATAAAATGAGAGGAGATTTAAGTTCATCCTATTTTCATTGTAACTGAGTTGCCATTTACTAACCTTTGTGAAATGAGCCAAGAGATAATTGTATTATGGCTTACTAAATAAAAAATAGAATCATGGTGCTGATACCATAATTCCTGTGTCATTCCACTGTCTCTATCATTGCTGAAACACAACAAGGAATTTGGGTTTATATTAAAATGCTACAGACAGAAATGACAGAATACCACCATGACTTACTGCTGACTTGAAGAGAGACAGCAAGGCGTGAAGCTGTATTTCACTCTCATTCTAGGTGGTTTTCATTTTCATTCAAAATCACTAGATTAGATATTGGTAATATTAAAAAAAACTTGGCTACAGTATAGTGTATGTTCTGCAGTTCATGCTATGCAGTAATGCTTTGTACTATTTGTATTTGTATTTTAGGTCTGGGTTTGGCATTCAATTTACAGCCTGCCTTAACAATGATCGGCAAGTATTTCTATAAGAAGCGTCCCATTGCTAATGGATTGGCCATGGCTGGAAGTCCAGTGTTTCTGAGCACATTGGCACCTCTCAATCAATTCCTTTTTAATGCATTTGGTTGGAAAGGAAGCTTTCTCATTCTGGGAGGACTACTTTTGAACTGCTGTGTGGCTGGGTCACTTATGAGGCCTGTTGGACCAAAACCAGTCCCTCCTGTGAAAAAAGATGTTGAAAAAGGCACAGGAGATTCTAGCCTGCACAAAAACAACAAGAAGTCTTTTTGGCAAACTATTAATAAATACCTAGACCTATCCCTCTTCAAACACAGAGGGTTTCTGATCTATTTGTCAGGAAATGTTATTATGTTTATTGGTTTCTTTGCTCCAATAGTTTTTTTGGCTCCTTATGCCAAACACAAGGGAATTGATGAATATTCTGCTGCTTTTTTACTATCCATTTTAGCCTTTGTAGATATGTTTGCTAGGCCTTCAATGGGACTTGTAGCAAACTCTAAATTTATCCGTCCAAAGATCCAGTACTTTTTTAGTTTTGCTGTCTTCTACAATGGAGTCTGTCATATCTTATGTCCTCTGGCAACAAATTACACTGGCTTGGTGATATATGCTGTATTTTTTGGGTTTGCATTTGGAATGGTTAGCAGTGTACTTTTTGAGACTCTGATGGACCTTGTTGGTGCTGCCAGATTTTCCAGTGCAGTTGGACTGGTCACCATCGTGGAATGCTGCCCTGTGCTCATAGGCCCTCCTCTAGGAGGTAAGAATCTCTTTTATTCCACTTTTTTTTTCCAGATATGACCTTGCAGTTTACTAATGAATTAATAAAATAATTTTACTTAATGTTATGTCATGTTTTCTCTGTGATTAGGAATGTAATGTAGAAGCACTGCATTGCACCTATTATCTTTGCAATTCACAGTTTCATATCTGCATGAAAATGTAAAGGCATTCATGGAATGTATTTGCAGTAGATAGATTATGAATGTATCTTGACTAGCCCTTAAATTCAGATAATGTATGATTCCCTGGTAGTACTTAGAGCTAAGTTTGCTGCCTTAATTTTCATATATTCAGTTCCACTTTGCTCTTCACCAGAACAATTCTTACTCCCTTGAATTCATCTGATCCACTGGTCAGTTTTTGAAGATTTTACAGAGTGACTTGTAGTTTCTCCAACTTCATCACAGCTGAAGGAACACTTTCTTACATTTAAAATGACAATCTTAATTTCTCTAAATGGAGACTATTTGCATATCTAGATAAAACAAACTGGCAGAGAGGTGCTGGGATGGGCAAAGTCAGGCTTAGCAGCTCAGGCAGTACTCCAGCATGGTGTTGCATGGCACTGTGCCCTCATGTGAATGTCACACCACACCTCCACACTCAGCCAATTGTTCAGCCTGTTTCTGTAGGCATTAGATAGGTTTCAGACATTTCACTGTATGAATCATCCTACCTGGACTGAAAATTGTTAGTGTTACTAGCTTCTCTTTTCAACGTAAGGGGAGATAAAAAGCAGACTAGTTGATATAGCTTGAGCTGTATTTGTAACTTTTGGGACTCAGGTAGCAAAAATGATGAAAAGAGTCTTACAGAAGTTTCTCTAAAAAAATAGATACCCAAATCTTGTTGAAAAGTATATATTAATTGCGTGTGTGTGTCTTGTACTGTAAGCCCAACAATATAGAAATGCAAAGACTCCTAGCTCTGTGAACATACACTATACCCAAATAAGCAGTGTCACAAAAGTCAGCTAGACTATATGTGCCTAAAAGTACATGTCCAAGTTTTTTTAGGATTGCCATCAATATTTGTATGAAAAAAGCATTCCTTTATGAAATTTTAAATAAGCCAGAACTGTTCAACTCATTTCATTACAATAATAATTGTACAAGTATGTTTTTAACAGACCTCAAGATACTCCATATTTGCCTCATCTTTCATCATATGAGTTCATTTTGGTAATGGCAGAACAAAACGTACAACTCACACAGACTCTTTCTGTGCCACCTAGTGGGGGGAGCCATCTGTGACTGATAGAGTCTAGCTTTTTCAGCCAGGCCCTGAAATCAATATCAATATCCAAAAATTTTAAATTTAATATCAGTGGTGCAATGGCATATATGAGTATTTATTTTTTAATTTGTCAGATTTGCACAAGTTTCGAAAGGCTGTGTATAGTGCTATAACCACAAGTATTTGTGCTATAACGATGGTAATTGACTGTGCTTGTTGAACAGAGACAACAGAGGGATGAACACATGAAAAATCTAACTTCCAGTTTTGACTAGTTCTTGTTCTTTTAAATACTATGCTGAAGTAATGTTAGTGCAGAATCTCATTTTTAATCAATTTTATGAGACTGCTTATGAATAAAAAGCGGTAAATTGTACTATATACAATAATAAGTTAATTATACACTTGCAGCACTACTTGAGTTTTTTCTAATGCTAGGCTTGTGAAGTAAAGAAAAGACTAAAATAGTTTGATGGCTTGTAAATGTGTCTCAGGTGAATTAGGGCATTGGATACAACCCAATAGAAGCATCTAAGTAAGTACTTACTGTGCAGATTATCTTTTGAATTTCAGTGATAGTGTAGCTGTGTTCAAAGCTGAATGCTTGGATAAGTACAAATGTTGATTAGGGAGTTGAAAAAAATCAGAAAGAATGGCTCGTAAAATGGAAGAATGTTGTAGTTGTCATGTCAGAACTAATCTTAGAATTTTGAGTATAATTCTTAGGTACAGGCTTCTGAGTTCAAAAATCAACAGTTAAGGATGATGGCTGAAGAAATAAGGCTTTCTATTTCTTTCACCAGTCACAGGAAAATAAAAATGAAAAACAAGCAGTTGGTGCACAGTGACAGCAGTCTAAGAAGGCACATTCCTTCTCATGCTATTGTCTGTGTACAGCCTCCATGAGTGTCAGGCAGTCACTCCAAAACAATAAAAAGCAAAATCAGGAGCTGAATAAAATAATAAGACAATGAAAGAAAATGAAAGAACTGGAAACTGTCTGTCATTATTCATTAAGCTTTTCTTATTTTGTTCTTCAATATTTTATCATTGTCAGTGATTCCAGTGACAATTGCTAGTTTAATCAACAATTGCATGTTTTATTAGAGGCCCACTATATATTTTAGACAATTTGAATGTATTGGAAACACTTTTCTGCTCCAGCTTTGAAAACAGGTCATATATAGATGTTTCTCCTGAAGAAATATTTAGATTGTATTAGGTGTTCTATTCTAAACATACTTTTCTCTCCTTATGTTTTTCTATTTCAGGTTGGTTAGTGGATGTTACTGGTGAATATCAATACATGTATTTTGTCTGTGGAGTGATTGTGATTGTGGCCAGCATCTGGTTGTTCATTGGCAATGCTATTAACTACAGGCTATTGGCAAAAGAAAAAAAGTTAGAAGATGAGAAACAGAAAGCACAGAAGAACACTGACTTGAAGGAGGCAGAACCACTAACAAACAACGAGAATGAAGATGCTGCTAGCAGAGCTGACAGAACTCTTGAAGATCCTTCAGAAAGAGAAACCAATATTTAATCTGCTATGTAGCCCAGAAGACAACACTTACGACTTCCATTTGAAATATGCCTTCAAGACACAAGCCAGGTTTTGTGTTAATAATGATCAGTTACAATATTGGATGGGAACAGATTTTTGCCCCATGTCAAGACTCCGAGTTAAATTACAATCTACTGTTTATTTATTTCAGTGATACAAAATTGAAGTTACAGAGGTAGTGGTTCCATAAATAAGCCCATCCAAACTATGACTCTGGACAGTGAAGAGTCAAGAAAACTAGGTGTAAAGCCTTCACATGACAAAGTTTTCTTTCAAAAATACATCTAATGCAAAAGCGTCTGTTGCTGTTATATGGGGAGATATTTTGTGTTCTTTAATAGAGTACTGTTAATGTCTGTTGAATTAATGTGCCCAAACTGTATTTACTACTAATATATTAAAAAAAAAAATACGAGCTCAAAGGTTTGTTTCAAAATTACCTGAATGAAGCACAATGAAAATTTTTTCTCATTTATATGCCCACTAGATCAAAATATTCATTATATCTATGTAAACAATTACAATAGGAATGTAGAAGTTCAGGTTGGAAGACACACAATTGGTGGGCACAATTTATAAAATGCAATAAACAGCAGAGGTTGTTTCCTCCTGTAATAGGTGGCTATGTTATAAACTTCAACAGACGCATTTGTACACAAGTACATTCAGACCTCACTAATTCAAAATAAGCTAAATGAAAATATTCTAAATTAGAATTTATACTGCTAACAAAAGTGGAAATCAGTTTGTTCACTTGCTTCATGGCAATGACATCAGCGTGGATGCTTGAGTTAATTGGCAAGTCGTTAACTGGTTGATGACAAGATGTAAGGTCTAACTTCAGGTCCTTGAGGGCAGGTAACTTCATACCAGTTCTCATCTCCCCTTCCCATGTATTTAGTGAAAAGCTACTTCTATTTCATGTTATTGGTTTAATCAAAAATGCTGCAAAGTACATTGTCAGTACAAATCTGGGAGCTTTGTATTAGCGTATCATTTTTTGTGCAGGATATTTGGTCTTGTTTCACATAGACACATCAATTGAAATACACACAATTGTTCCTTTAGATAAAAACAAAATAAAATAAAATAAAAATTATTAATAAAAAAGAGATTTAGCATTGCACTTGAAATTGAAAAGTGCAAGGTTCTGAAGGTTTTAGATGAAAATATTTCTGTTCTATTCATAGTTGAGGAACTTCATTTTGCAGAATTTCATATATATGCCACAGAAGTTGTGAAAATTAAGGGTCTGATTCATAGAACATTTGTACGTGTACATTCAATTCAGGAAAAAGTATGTTATTTTTCTTTAGTCCTCAAATACATATAGCGATTTGAAGTGCCAATAACAAAAGAAATACAATAACAGAAACTAGCAAGTGGAAATGCCAGTTTCTTAAGAGCAGCATTCAATTTGCTTATTTTCACTATTTAAAAAAAAAAAAACAAAAAAAGATACTGCTTGCCTCTGTCTTACAGGATTATCATCTTATTTGCTATGTACTTCCAGAGTAACGCTGAACTTTTCATTAGCACTGTTTTGGAGAAGAAACATCATGAATCCACTAGCAAGATGGTACAGAAATTTGCATCTTCTTTTTACCTAATTAAGCACAGGAAATCCAGATAGCTTCTACAAGTCTTGTAGGTACTTCAGCAATAAAATAATGTGTATTTCAGAGTTTCAGAAGAAAATAAGGGTTATATGCTCAGATTTGAGCAGTGAACTGTCTAAAGGAAAGTGATATAATCCCCATAAAGTTGCAGTTCAGAGACATAAAGACATTATACCTTCTTTCAAAATGTAATCCAGACAACACCCTATGAGATGAAAGCATTACTCTGGTTATGGATGCATGGACATACATGGGGAGTTCCAGGGTCCAGTCTGAAAATGTCCCACATGTCAAGAGATGTAGAGTTTCATAATTGGCAAGCTGTCATACAGTTAGGAATATCAGTAATAATGCTGGACTACAAAGGATGAACTGAAACATCAGCTAAAGAGTAGTCATCAGGAGCACCACTTTGCTCTTGACAGCAAGTGTCAAAGGCAGAGATTATTTGAAAAGAGTTGAGTACATAGGTAGAACAAAAATGACAGGCAAAAATTTGTGTGTTTATTATCTCTGCAAAACAAGCAAACAAACAAACAGAAACCCAATAAACCAAAATGAAAAAAAAAAAAGAACAAGAACAAAACCACAAAATAGCATGATTAAAAATGCAGGGTAAAAGACAGCAAGTATCAACTTTTGATTTAAGCCCATTAAAAATTGATATTGACCTTTAGGACTCAAGTAAGAGGCTCTTGGGAATCATACAGGCAGCTCACCTGTTCCGTAAAGGACTGCAGAATGCAATAAAACATGGCATAGGAAATAAGGGAAAAACAAGTTTCTCTGAGCCATAGACACACCTACAATAGCAACACTGATGTTACTATCTCAGAGGAAATCAATATTTCTGTATATTCTCTACAGGACTCCTGATCTTTCATCTCCAGTCAATTATGTCAGTAGTAGGAATCAAAGAGCTGCTTTACCACCATTCACCAATGTACAGCTTTTAATCACATAATGAGGTAAAATGATGTATCAGGCAACAGAAACAACATAAGATGTGAACTGAATCTAGAGAAGCATTTCTTTACATTCTTCTCATTTTTTCTTCTTAAAACTGGCAACAACTATTACTAGAACAGCAAATCAGAATGCACTTGATATTACTGAGTGTTATGGAATTTTGAATGCAAAGCGTAATGAAGAAGATTGGAGCCATATCTATGCAAAAAAAAAAAAAAAAAAAAAAAAAAGCCAGAAACAAAAAAGTCTTCCAAATAAGAGTCCTAAAGTGGAATTTTAATATGTAGTTCTTATTTTAATATTAATAATAAACTGCCTTCAGTCAATTCTATGAGCATTAAAGTAGTGAAATGAATATAACTTGCCTATAAAACCCGGAATATCATTCTTACTTGCGCTGAGCTGAAATCATTACTGCAAATAAATTCCTTACCATTCTGCTTTTAGAATGAGACCCATGTATATATCATTTATTTATGTCCCCCTGCTTTATTTTAGTTACTTTGGTCAGCCTTCACTATAGACCACTTCAGGGTCAAGATTAAGAGATACCTTTGCTGTACACAGTCATGTAATGTACTCTCAAATTTTAAGATGTACCACGGGCATCTCTTACACACGACAAAGTCTGTAGTCTGTCAGTCAGTGTAAGCAAATCCTGAGTTAGCCTTAATCTGATATATATTTCATCCTCTTTATCTCTCTGCTATAATATTTCTGAGTCAGATTATCATGTTGTTTATATTCAATTAATCAAATAATGCCAAAATCTTAAAATTAGTAGGAAAGAGAATAATCAGCCTCCACCAATCATATGTTTCCTATTTAACATCAAAGTTAAATAGGATAGATAGATTCAGAGTACTTATCCAGATACTTCTATCTCTTTAGTGTTTTTTGACATTATAATTCTCTATAGCAGGACAATTCTTCTGTTTTGCCCTTTTCAACTCCAGAGAAAGCCTTCTCACTAATAATTCTTAGTACTTGTTCAAGAACAAATGTTCACCCTTGCCACTTCTCACCACTGAACTGTGCTTGCAGCTGTTGCCAGTTTTGTACCTCCCTCAGGTTCGAAATCCTGTAGTCAAAGTGCAGTACTTATGTTTCAAGAAGGTGATTTGTGAACTGTTTTGACAGGGTTGGAAAAAGTTGTCTTCAAATAGATTATTATTATTTTCTTCAGTTTTCTAATGATATTTTCCTTATGAGAGTAAGTTCAGCTATACTTGCTGTTGAAGTTAATGGCAACAATTTCCCTGACTTTGTGACTCAACGTTCAGGTTAATTTTTATGGCATTTTTGTATAGCAACATCCACAAACAAAAAAAGTTTGTCAGTGTGTACATAACTGTTCAAAACTTAAGCCAGAGAAGTCTATGAAGAGTCACAAGCTCTGCGGGTAAACAGTGAGTTTTAATTATTATTTTTGGGTTTTTTTGGTACAACCATCCATAAAGATTCTATGAAGTAGCAACGCATCATATACTCCCTCAAGGAGTAGGATTCTTGCCTAGTTTTATCCATACAGAAATCATATTGATTTTATTTCCCATTAGAGATGCATCCCTATTAACTATTTTTGTAACTTCATTTCCCTTCTTATTCAACTTGAAGGTTCTTCTGACTCGCAGTTTTCCATTCTGATGTTGCACAAAAAACTTAGATATGGCATGGAATCTCTTATTAAATACTTGCTGTCATTGTCTTCCCTCAAATGCTGAAATAATTTTTTTTTCACTTGCTACTTTAGATGGTTGTGGGGAGGTAAGGTGTTATCCACTTATATAATAAACTACGGATATAACACACAGCCAGATAGTATTTAGCCATCAGGATTTACTAAACAAGCCCACTTTTTTAGAATCATAGAATCATAGAATGGTTTGGGTTGGAAGGACCATTTAAGATCATCTAGTTTCAATTCCCCTGCTATAGGCAGGAACACCTCCCACTAGACCAGATTGCTTAAAACCTCATCCAGCCTGGCCCCGAACGTCTCCAGGGAGGGAGCATCCACAACCTCTCTGAGCAACCTATTCCAGTGTCTCACCACCCTCGCAATAAAGAATTTCTTCCTGATAATATGTAGTCTAAATCTACTCTCTTCCAGTTTAAATCCATTTCCCCTCATCCTGTTGCTACATGAACTAATAAAGAAGTCCCTTCCCGGCTTTCCTGCGAGCTCCCTTCAAGTGTTGGAAGGCCACTATAGCATCTCCCCAGAACCTTCTCTTCTGCAGGCTGAAGGGCCTCAGCTCTCTCAGCCTGTCCTCATAGTGGAGGTATTCTAGCCCTCTGATCATTTTCGTGGCCCTCCTCTGGACCTGCTCCAACAGCTCCATGTCATTCTTGTGTTGAGAGCCCCAGAACTGGACACAGTACTCCAGGTGGGGTCTCATGAGAGCAGACAAGAGGGGTAGAACCACCTTACTCTATCTGCTGGTCATGCTTCTCTTAATGTAACCCAGGATACGGTTGGCTAGATTAACTTGCTGCAATGGATACTGACAATTTTGCCTTTAATAAAAGTCAATCAAGGCAATTTTTGTTAGTTTCTCTATAGATAATTATTTTTTTACTCCTACTGAGGAATTTTTAGAAAATATTTATTATCAGAGATGACATCAATTTTAACAAGGCTCTCTGGTTTACTTTGGGGGGGGAGGGGGGAAGTTGGCACTTTTCTGATGTTTGTGCATATATATTTAAAGCATTTGCATGTATAGGCATCTTTTAAATCACAATTTGCATAAGTATTGCTATATAATTTCAACATCATTTCGTGTTATTATTTTGCAATTCAATTTTTTTTTCTCTGTCATCTACCTCTCAGTTACAGTTAGGAGACTTGCATGACCCTGGAAGAATACAGCTAACAAAAAGCATACTGTTGAAACTTGCACAGATTATTAGACAGTCTCCAAAATATTTGAAGTAGTTCATAGTAATATTTCAAAGCACTGCATACTGATGACTGGACTGTATTCCTTTTCAATATTTTTAGTAAATCTGAAGACTAAAGCCATACTGGTATATTTTTTGCATCACTGAACTGGTGTAAAAAAATTGATGTGTCATTTGAACACCCAAAGTCTACTGCCCTTTCTGTGAGATGCTGCCTTTTTGTATTTCTTTCCATTTATGAATTAAAGGAAGAAACTAAATGGAAATGTTAGGACATTAGTACCTACAAAGTATTACAAAAAAAGTTGCAGAATGTTTTGCATTCTTCATAAGAAAAGAAAAGAAAAGAAAAGAAAAGAAAAGAAAAGAAAAGAAAAGAAAAGAAAAGAAAAGAAAAGAAAAGAAAAGAAAAGAAAAGAAAAGAAAAGAAAAGAAAAGAAAAGAAAAGAAAAGAAAAGAAAAGAAAAGAAAAGAAAAGAAAAGAAAGGAGAGAGAAAAAGGAAGGAAGGAAGGAAGGAAGGAAGGAAGGAAGGAAGGAAGGAAGGAAGGAAGGAAGGAAGGAAGGAAGGAAGGAAGGAAGGAAGGAAGGAAGGAAGGAAGGAAGGAAGGAAGGGG